AACGTACTACGTCGTTACGTTAGTTAAGTTTAAGTTTAGGTTAGGTACGTACGTACGTAGTGTAGTTAGTTAGTTAGTACGTCGCGTCTACTATAATTTACTTACTATATATATATATATATATATATATATATATATATATGTATGTATATTATATATTATATATCGAGAGAGAGAGAGGAAGGTTGGGTGAGAATTGGGTGTCCTTTGTCCAATATTTGCGTGATGCTATGTATTTATTCACAAAATAAATTCAAAAGAAGGAAAGAACTTAGTAAAAAATAATAATTGAGCGACTAGGTTCGTATTGGCAATGTGGAGTACGTAACATATCCATATCATGACTCATGAGTGCTCCGTGGGACTCAGTACTCCTTATATTATTCATGTTTTCATGCGCCTCTCTCTATCAAACTGTTCGTTTTTTCCTTTTATATTTCAGCAAATGGAGGAGCAATTTAAGACTCTTATTGTACTTTCCCACTACTTGGAGGTACATGTTTCTCTCTGTTACACTTATTTCTTTTTTATTCTGCTTTTGATATTTCTTTTTGTCTCTATTTCTGAAGGAATATAACCCAAACATGCTTTGCAGACTGCAAGGTTCCGCCAATTTTGGGATGAGGCTGCAAAGAACCGCAGCATAGTTGAAGTAGTGCCTGGTATGTGCATCGCATTGATCCAGTGTTATTAAACTTATAAGTAGAGTTTTATTTTTATTTGCATGGAGATTATTTTGTTTGATCTTTGTAAAGATTCTTTGTCAGATTTGTTATGCTCTTTTGACGCAACCAGCAAGCATTGACTAGTTTTCCATTGAGCATTCCAATCACTGATCTTATTCAAAGTTATTTAAATATTTATGTTTATTCAGGGTTCGAGCAAGCAATTCAGGAATACGCCATTCATGCTCTATCTCTCACTTATCAGAAGGTTCCCAGGCCTGTACTTGCAGAGGTAAATAGACTCAATCCCTTTTAGAGAAGGGATTGTATATTATAATACCATTTATATTTGTTACGAGGCGGTCACAATTGCTACTGGCCATTAGATGTCAAATTAGATGGCTTAAAGTGTGTCACAGTTTGAAAATTTTATTTTATTTTATTTTACTTGGAATCTAGTCAAAATGACACGTTTATAACCATCCAATCTGAAATATAACAAACAAAAGTGATTGCGATCTTCTATTAAAAGTAAATGGTCTCTTTGTATACTCTTTCTTTTGGTGAAAGTATGCCATGTACAACCATTTAAAATCATACACCACTATGCTATGGTGTATAATACACAATAATTAGTTGGATTATCAGTAGGGATTGTATACAATGAGACCATTTATGTTTTATACAAGGTGGTCACAATTAGCATTATCAGAAGGGATTGTATACAATGAGACCATTTACGTTTTATACATGGAGGTCACAATTAGCATTATCAGAAGGGATTGTATACAATGAGACCATTTACGTTTTTACAAGGAGGTCATTATTACTTATAATCATCCGACGTGAAATCTGATAGTTTGGATGTGTCATAAAGTTCGAGAGAATTTCTTTTGAACTCTAAGCTTGGTTAATGCAATATATGTAGCCATCTAATTTCACATCGAATGGTCAAGATTAATTGTAACCACCTTGTACTAAAGATAAATGGTCTCATTATATATTTTTTTATATTTTTATGAGAAACTATCACGGTTTTTCTCTATGTTTAATCTTTTATTGCTGCGATTTCTCCCACCCTCTCTTGTCTCCCATTTCCTCTCTCTCAGAGAGGGAGATAAAGATCACATCAGGCCTCAATCATATTTGATATGAGAGATCGTGAGAGAGAGGCATCTCTATCCTTCCATTAATTTCAAGAGAGAATCTTCCATCCATCCGATTTGAGAAAGGTGTATGTGAACTGGTTTTGCATGTGACCAGTATTCGCAAAACCAGGCGATCTAATCGCCACTCATCCGGTTAAATCAGAACTAGCCACTGATTGGTTCTGGTTTTGGGCGGTTTTGGTGACCAGTATTTAAAAAAAAAAAAAGTGTATAAATTTCAAAAAATAGAGAATTTGATATGTAATGTATTTTTTAATATTATTTACATTATGGTAAAGATTAAAAATTGTTTTGATCATTAATACTCACTTTTATATTTTCTCATATTTTTTAAAAAATTTTAAAAATACCTCTAAACACAAATCGATTTTTTAAAAAATATGTATTTTTCATTAATTTTCAATTTCATTTGAATGTATTTTGTTTTAATCATTTTTTATATGCTTTTCATATTTTAGCAAATTTATTTTTTAATCTTTTTTATTTTTTTCAACACTTTTTTGACCATCCGGGACTTGTTCGGTTAGAGCGGCTGAATCGGCCGGTTAAACTGCTGTCGGCCCATGTCCAGTTAACCGTTCAATTTTGCAAACACTATATGTGACTGAGATTTGTTCAACGGTGTTAACAGGCCATCAACATTGAAGGACTATCTCTTGACAAATTTTTGGAGCACCAGGTCACACACTCTGGGTGGGTGTTGGAGAAGGGGCATGGCAGGGGTCAGCTCATTGTCCTCCCCCGCAACGAGTTCAACCACCCCGACCTCAAGAAGAATGCAGCTGATACCATCCCCCTTGAACATGTCACGCGCATCTTCCCCATTCTCTCCTGATTGTCTACCATTACTTCGACTCTTCATCTTTCTATTTTGTAGCGTCATTGTCAGAATTTCTTGGTTTGATGAACTTTTTATGATTTTGTGGCAGTAGTGCTGTTTTTTTTTTTTCACTCCTTTTAGAACAAGGACGAGCTTCTTTCTGGCTTTTCTTGCCATGTGAAATGTACTTGATGAACGAATCGTTCCTGATTTCGGGGCAGAAGTGTGGGGTTTTTCACTTGTATTGAAACCAGCAATAGCTTGTTTCTACCTTTTTGCTGCTCTTCGAAGCATACTTAATTTTTGTCTTTGTCGCTCTGGTTTTCTCAGCTTTCTAGTATCCGTTCCGCAAAGTTGTGATGTAAAACGATACAAATTAGGCATCCATGCTTTCCATCTCATACAAACCAGATAAAAGTTATTGTAACATAAAATGTGAAACAACAATTGATAATTGATAAGAAACATGTCTCGGGCTCAATTGAGCTGAATATATATGATAATAAATATTTATATATTATTTACATCAAGAAAAATCTGAGTTCATGAAGGGGAGAAGGAAGAAGAAATTCCGAAAGAATAAGGTATTTACTTGTCAGAATTACATCGGATTTTTGGCTGAGCAGTTTTTCGCCCTGGCCGGAGAGTAATGTACTCCTACACAGCAGCAGCAGAGGGCCTTCAAGGGGGGAAATTTTATCTTACAATTGAGAGGATACCATTCTCGCATGTCATCGTTTACAGTTGCATCCTCTTTTCGTTTCTCTTTTTTTCCATTTTATTTCTCGTCAGTGCAAAAACTGATTTTGGGCATGGTGGATTGATAAATATTTGGGGCCGACAGATCATCTCATTTTTTTTTTTTTTTTAACTTGGGGAATTACCAAAGGGTTTGGCCATAACTAACCCAATGCACGAAGCTATCAGAGAACTCTTGGATGCAAGTTGTGTTTTGATGATGTGATCCCAACATGGTTGTGCTCGGTGTACGAGTTGGCTCGATCTTGGGGTTGATTGTTTCCACAATGATTCCATTGACGACATTTTCGGAGGAGAGGCCACCCACAGGGGAGTTGATTAGTGTGGATCTGCAGCCCACATGTGAGATAAGTTAGTGCCACCTGAAGCGAGAGCTAGAGAGAGCACATGCGAGGTTTTACATGCACATTCACCACAATGCTTGACCACATGCACAAGCATCTCAAGGGTGGTTGAGAGTTGTTATAGTCGACAAACACTTCAATGCACAAATGATTTCCCCAAGCAGGATCAGTGTGTGTGCACATGCAGGAGAGAGAGAGAGCCTGTGAAATTACCTCTCGTAAATATCATCTTCACAGGAGTTGCCAGAAGAAGAGAGCATGTCCACATCCACAAAATTTGAGCAGCCCAATGCATCACCATTCTCATTGACGAAAATATGGCCGCCCTCTCTATGCATCTCTGCAAAGAGCTGTCTACGAGTCATCGAAGGTATGTACCTACAAGAGATTCCTAGATTAGCCAAATACCAAGGTCCAACACAATCGTGACTAGTTAAGACAACAAGAAGCTAAGAGTGCATAATATATTTTTGATACACCCATTGTGCATCTACTCGTCTGTTTATAGTATCAGATAGGGGAGATTAGCTATATCCAGACATATTTAATTGGTGACTGCTAGTTAATCTTCGTCATCCATTATTGGGAACAGAAGGTAGATGCCCAAGGGTTCCTAATCTTTCACAGTAAAGTTTCCAGTAAATGTCTTTTGATCTCACAGTCACCAAAGGGTGATCAAGCCCTGTCGATTCTGTGCCGTAACAGAAGCACAGGTTTTTTCAATTAAAGCTGATCAATTTACAAACGATTCATAAAAGGGAATTTATCATTTTGAGAATCTCAGTCTTAGCGAGAAATATTGTATTCAAAGATAGGGGCTTTATTTTACTGCAGAACTGAAGGGACCTTTTAGCTTTGTCAGCTCTTGTGTTATTTCCACTATTCAATAAATCTCAACAACTGTAATATAAAATAAAACAACTGACCTTGAATAAGATATTTCACTTTCACATGTTGAGATCTCTGGGGTAGAATCACAGAGACCCCTCTTGTCGTCTCCCTGACCATTCCTTCCAGGCAGTGCAGAGTTCGACAACCCTTTCTGCGCATCTTTCACCCCAGAAACAGGAGTGTTGCTTTGACATAAAATGTTACCATCTGACAATGACCTCTTGAAAAATGATCTACAAGAAAACACCCCAGACAAGTTTAACTAAAAATAAAACAACTATTCAGTCGACAAGAGCAACCCCGGAAAACTATTTTTGAGCAAGTTGACCGTATTGTATACGACTATCATAAATGTAGAATACAAGAGAACACCCCAGAAAAGTTAATAGAAAATAAATAAACATTTCCACTAATCAACAATCACACACCCAGACACATACACACCCATAAAGACAGAGAGAGAAGATGAAACTTGCTTGCATCAAAATGTACCAAGACAAATATGTGGTTTAAGCATCCAAATTTTATGCTGAATATGACCATAAATGTATATATTGCAAGCTTTATTTGAATACCTTGCATTTTCATCTGATAAACCATTGGAACGCCTACCAACATTGTAATGTTGGTCCGAATCAAGTTCCCAGAGAGCTGGTTTACCTTGCTGGGGTTGAAAGTGACCCAAGAACCTGTATATTCAAAATACTATAAGCTCATTTCCAAGCTGCTATACGACACGCCATTCCTAAAAGTCAAGGTGGTGAATCAAGATAGAATGAGATGGTCTAATTGCTTACTTAAAAATACAATAATAGAAGAAAGCGCACTATATCCTATGGAGTATGAAATGGGGTTATGGGAAGAATCCATGATTCATTCCCAATATTGCACCATGAAGATTAACCATAGAAACGTGAATGTCCATCCTGTCAGCCCCACTACGGTTGTCAGCAGGAAAGGATGGTTAATGTGGACGTTTTTTTTGCTAAAAGAGAGCGGGTTTGAGCAGGTCCCCACCCCTTGCATTAATATGTGAAAAAAAGTACATTGGTCACACCATATACTTTCTCCCTCTCCTTTACATAAGGTCTCCAGTATATGTATCCTATGCCACTCAAGTAGGCCTGGCGATTGACTTCCCATAAGAATGGTTCTTCCACTATCATTCCTTGGTGGGACAAACATATTTACTGGAATGTTATTTTTGATATTCCAAGTTATCTCCCTTAGAACCCTTTGAAATGATTGGTTGCAGTCTTCCTTTGCCCTCCGATTTCTTTCTTGCCAAATTGCCCATATAATGGTGGGGAACAAGACTTTCAAATCTCAGTTAAGGGATCAATTTTCTTTTGAAGCAACTTGTTATGAGGCGAGGATTAATGTGGATTGTTGATTGTAGGATACCATCTTTAAATGAAGATATATGAAACTCAGTATTATACCAAAAGAAAGAGAGAGAATAGGTTAAATAAAACATACACATTAATGGCGTCTTGTTTCTCAGCATCCATGTATGCATTGCTGTAGTAGCGCTGGAGTGTCCTGAAGAATTCTTGGGATTGGGTTGCTGCTTTCCACTGGCCTCTTCTCTCAGAGAATATCTAGGTATGAACAAATGTAGACAATGATCAATTAATTATTTGTGTTTTCACAGAGATGTCCATCACAAAATGGTAAGATGAATATAACCATGACGAGAGACCAAGATGCAATGCATCACATGCAAGGTACTATACAGCCAAAACATCTAGAGATAAATCACCTAAAAGTGAAAATGATTAGGATGATTAAACTGATGCCTCCTAGTGTCAATGCCATTGTTAAACAGAGAGATATCACAATAAACACATTTAAAATGTGGTGAAATCACTTGTAAGTTGAACTCACTACACTGATTATTAAAATATTGGATATGTAATATAATGCATCATCATCATTATTCAAGCCTTATCCCAATTATTTGGGGTCGGCTATGTAATATAATAATTGTATATTCTCTTTTATTTCAGATATACAAGATCAGCTATTCTTTATGGGACAGAATATTGGGCGGTCAAGAAACGCAAGATCAAGATCTATAGAAGGAATGTAGCTGAAATGAGAATCTCGAGAAAGATGAGTGGCAAAACAAGGACAGAATTCGGAATGAAATTAACACATTCGAGCAAACTGAGGGTTAGCTCTAATAGGTGATAAAATGAGGGAAAATACATTTAGGTGATCAAGTCATATGCAGCGTTGACCTAGAACATGACTAGTTAGGATAGGTGATTTGGTTCAAGTGGAAGGCTCTAAAAGGGCAAGGGGAAGGCCCCAAAAGATATAGATAGAAGTAGTATGAAAATATATGGTGGCTTATAGTCTAACTAAGGATGTAATCCTTGAAATAGCAGAAAGGCAGAAGAGAATTTACGTAGTTGACCCCAAATAGTTGGGATAAGGCTCAGATGATGATATAATTTGAATCAATAGTTTATTTATTGCAAAAGTGATCCATAGTTTATAATTGAGGAACTTTTATCATATTTTACAGATGAAGAAAGAACCAGAACAGGATACCTTGTTGTGGGCAGCAGAACCACCATACTGCAATGCAAGTGTGTCACCCATAGTCTCATAGAATCCCATCAAAACAACAGCAAGCGAAGCATCAAGATCAATTTTAGGGACATCTATAAAGCCCAAAGCATGGAGCTGCTGACCCAGAGCAGCCAAACCATAGGCATATTGAGCTACATTTGTGCGATCCAAACAGTCGATGCAGTTTGTACGAAGGACTCCTCTTTGAAAAATAGGAGTCTTCACAGAATAAGTCTCGTCATTGTCAGCATTTACTTCTTCCTTGGTTCTGGATTCAGAGGTGTACGCATCACCAGTATTATTGCTACTGAGCTCCTCAGGGGAACATTCTTCTTCTTCATTATACCTATCAATTTACAAAGTATCAAAAATTTAAGGAACAATCCACAGTATAATTTTCCTCTAAAAAAATGAGGAAAACCAGGTTTTGAAATAAGAGACCTAGCAAATGCATGCATTGCAAGCCAAGTATGATTCCCATATGAGCCAGTGCATTTATTAGAAACCATATCCATCTGACTCCAAAATCATGAAATCTAAATCACAGATATGGGGGCAAAACATAAATGTAACCTATAGATCGGGAAAACAAAAAGAGAGGAAAATAATGTGAAGTATCTCACAAGGGGACTGCATAAACTGTGCAAAAGAAGCATATACATGCTCATAAACCATAGCAAACCATCAAACCTATTTCTTCTTTTTTGTGTTGTTCTTTATAATGACCAAGTAAACCTTTTCTGGGCATTAAATATACAACACCAAGATGACTAGAGATCATTTAAGCAAGAAGGATTTGCAATATCCAAAAATTATATCATCCATGAACATTCTCATTAGCAAATGGAAGTAACAAAAGAAAGGGGCAACAGATGCATCATAATTGAAATGACACGGAAGATTCATAATCTCACATAGATTAGCAATATCTTAATAAAATTCGGGTTGATTGAAATGACTAAACTGAGACTCTGCAGTATGAGATTCTAACACACATTTGAGGTAGATATGGAAAGAATTTACTTAAGCAGCTTACTCATAAGGAACAAACCCATCCTGTGAAGGGGAATAATTTTGAAGTGTAAATGCAGAAAATATAGAAACTAGTTTGTGAAAGTGGTCATTTTAGCTTTAGGAGATTACAAAGAAAAAGAATAAAAAATTGGAAAGAAAAATCTGGAAGGATACATGGGACTTTATAGTTCCCTTGCTGGCTAAGAAGCATAATAAACTTTATTGCCTTGAGAAATTAAATGAAGGTATGTTACTCTTTCTTCTGTTATGGGCTTTGGTCCAGTACATGTGCACGTGGTTCAATAATGGAAGTCAAGGTTTTGAGCCTTGAAAATTTTTCCAGTTCTGAACCAAGCTATCTCGCTAAAAATAAATAAAAAATAAAGAGCTAAAATGTTTGAAATTGAGTGAAGTGTTGCCTCCCATATACATGCAAGCAATAGCAATGGAAAGTTGATGAATAAAAAATGTTTATCAGAAGTGTTGAAGAAGCACATGGATAACAGAGTAAAATCTGTCGAAGTGGCGATTTTCTTTTGAATGTTGGCTGCAATTGTCAAAGCTGCCAAGAAGCTCGTGGTCTCTTGGAGTGGGAATGAAAACTGAATAAGAATTTCTAGAAATTGAAGAGATAATTCAATGCTACCTGAGCAAGGATGAAAGCAGGGTCCATCAATAAAGCTTAACACAAAAATATGGGAGAAGAAAGATTTAATTGTTCATAATTATAGCCAGGAAAAACTTCTCTTCAATGGGATAAAAGTTCAAATGTTCACTCACACACTTTAACCTAGGGAAGGAAAATCAAATGATGTCCTTCAGAAGTATTAACAATATCTGAAAACGTATAAGAATTTGCAGTCATAGCCAATGAATCAGAACATATGTACTCATCTGTCATCATTTACGACATATATATCATTACAGTATATGTAACTTAAGTAAATAGTTTCAGTTAACATCAGATGAGTCTGCGAACATTTCTTCAAAAGCAACACACGTGTCCATAGTTTTGGGTACACATCGACCCACCAAGGACATGACACTCATGGGAGACACTTCAGAACTTATAGTTAATTTCTTCTTGGAAATCCTATAAAAGCACATTATGTCACTTCCCCCTCCTTTAAATTTACAGACATGTCATGTCTGAAAGGCTAATTTAGGGTTTCACATTTCTGATGGTTGCCTATGTGCCTGATATTGAAACAAATTTCTTTACCTTTTTGGAAGATAGTTCAACATTTTTAATACTCTTTCTTCTCCTGTTTTACTTTGATTGTTCTTGATGCTTACAATCTATGTCTGATCCTCTTATAAAAAACACTTATTATTTTTCTCCCAATCTGTGACAGCAGACTAGCTCAGTACAATTCTTGAGCTTGATAAATTGCATGAACCCAGTATTTGCAAATAGGGGACAATGCATGCGTCAATTTCAGATGTTGAAAGTTACTAAGAATTCTGGTCGGTCAAAGCTACATTAAGAACTTAAAAAATTTTAGGCTACCTACCGGTTTTATTACAGCAGCCAACTTCAAGCTTTCTTACAGTATTGCCACATTCAATATTTAAATTTTTCAAATAAAAGTAAGTCCAAAACAGATAACATCTAGTAAACTACATGTAAAATGGCTTCTGAGTGCATCTGGAGACTTGTCAAATTTGTGATATATGAAGAAGAAAACTACAGATATCACTCATGATTGAGTGACGAATAAATACAAGGAGAAAACAAGTCACACAAGATCAGTGATTAATATCATAAATACATCATCTGTCACTGTAAAATAGTTACATTTTCAATAGGAAGGCCACCGAGGAGTATTAAAGAGCAGAGGAAGTAATAGAAAATGATAAACAAAAATGGTAACGTACCGAGGATCAGGGAAATGGCCTTTAAGATTTCCCTCAGAACTTGGATCTGGTATCGACTGACAGTAAAAGAAACCAGTCAAGTTCAATGCATATGATGCGACTTTTCCCAGCAGTGCCAATACGTTTGTTGCTTTGCTGCTTAAGACAGATAACATTACCAAGTCAAGAGAAACTGAATGAAGCAGCACAATCAATAGCCACAGCATGGTTCTCGGACATCGCTTGTCTTTTAGCGACGTATTCAAGAAACAGAAAATCACAAAACAGTACCTTCTAGAATGTTTGTGAAGATCCCAATGTAAAAATTTGAGGCGATTTTCTTCGGATAAATCTTTATTTATAAATTCAATTGCATTAGCAAACTCTGCACGGAGGATAGATTCTCGAGGCTTCTTCTCATGTGTCTGTATAGGAAAGCAACAACAAGAGAGTGTAAGGTTTACCAAGGATACCACTCTGGTGGATGCATCTGAACCAATCACTCATACTTATACATTGAGCAAGCAGCATGTATGTATATATGCACATGTTCATGCATGCGTATATGTGTACGCATATTTCTGCCACAAAAATTCATGCAAATCACTAACACTTATGCATGTAGTACGCATGTATATATGTACGCATGTATGCGTGAGTGATGTGTGAGAATACATGTATGCATATCTGCACCACAAAATTGTATGCAATTGTGTCAAACATTATGCATGGATGCTATCATATAAATTCCCATCTCTGGATAAGGCTGATCTACAAAAGCTGTAGATCATTCATCCATCTTGCACCATCTAGTAATGTTGCCTTATATCAGACACACAACAAAAGTTTCAGAATGCAAGAAAGCATTTTACGTTTCCTCATATAAGATTTTTGCAACAAGCAACAGAGTGAAGGACCACACCTTGATCAAATTCAGGACAATTATAGGGTTTCCATATCTCTTTACAAGATTCTCAAAGTGAAGTCTTGTAGCTTCATAAGTCTGATCCTTTTTTTGCACTGAAAGAAGACAACAACCTCTCAGTAGTTGAGGATGGATATCATAATAGTTTCATATTGGGTAACACCATTTGCAAACTTACATATGATATCAGGCTTTATATTGAGGCGAGAAGTTTCTTGGGACCAGTATAGCGGTATTGAACCTCTATTCTGCACAACAGAACTTATTTGTGTAGGACATCCTTCAGGAACATCTTCAAAAACAATCTGCTCTGTCTCTACATCATTAGCTACCCTACCCTTCTCATTGACACCTCGTTTCAAGTACCTACACCAAAAGAAACCATCATGATGAAAAGGGAAATTAAGATCTTGTAACTTTGCTCTTGATTAAATTCAAGATCATATTTACTTTTTGATGTCATGACATACACCATTTTATACTAGCAAATTTCTGAAATGCACAAAATTGCACTTCATTAAGACACTCATGATGCATAAAGACTCATGAATAACCAAATAATTCTTAACTCCATACAACCTGGTGCCGGCATAATGACGTGAGCGCCTTGCAATGAGCGTCAATTTAAAATCCTTTCCAGAAACTGACAGTTTAGCCTGCAGTCATATTTATATAAATCAATAGTGCGGTCTCCAATGGAACCATTGACTCACAAAAGCATGTTTGATCAGAAAAGAGAACATGAAACGTGACTCTGTCCACCAGGGCTTGGGCTCAATGGCAAGACACCCACTTAGCATCTCTCTTGCGAATCAAGCTACCCAAGCAAAGGAAAAGAGAACTGGAAAACTACATTTGTAAGTGCAATTCACATGGCTGATATGCTTGTAGTGGGTTTTTTTTTTTTTGTGAAATTAGTGGTATTGTGTTGATCATACATTTTAAATGACGTAGTTGGCCTTCCCTACTTGTGGAATTCACTGCCAAGCAGGTTTGAAAACTAATGATCCAGAGGCAACATGTGACACTAAAAGCGCTCTCATAAAGTAATTCTGATTATTTAAACGGTAAACATAGATTCTTTAACTCAGAAAACTTACCTGCTTAAAGAAGCCATAGACTAATGCCACTGTCCAGATGGTATTCTTAAGGTGATTCCGAATGCCACGAGTCAAAAACTCATTCCACACAAACATCGTCTCATATACAACTTGTCCTGACTGTTCATCACATAAATTCTTTTGAAGACTACGCATAACATGGTATGAGTAGCTGAAAAAGAAGTCCTTGGTAAGATCCACAGTGCATAGAAGCCTCTTGTATCTACACAATTCATCAAAACACAAATTACATGAATACTGTGCAATAGGAAAGCCAAATGAAAAGCGTCAAGTGCTTTAATACAGACAAGAAGGAACAAAAAGCGCTTAAGTAGTACATAAACTGACATAATTGATTCACTGAAAAAATGTAGAACCTGTAGTCCTCAAGTGTGGGCTTTTGAAGCATGAATAATAAGGCTAGCTACAAGTGAAGAAAATTAAAGAGGAAAATGGTTTACCCACCCATGGCTATAACTCTAGCCACATAACAACTGCTGGTCAATAAGAAACCAATACTAACATTAGAAACTGAAGTCGCTGGAAATGGGACATTTCTTATTTATAGGATCAAGCTCTACAGTTATAGATATACACAATTCACGTGGATATGTAATGCACTCGTTATCATCCCAAATTTACTCCCAGCTGACAATTTTAACTTACAAAGTTATTCACAATAAGACTCAATACAGGGAGAGGATTTCTACATCTTGGTGAAACAGTAGCTCATACACAGCCCAGAAATTCAATGGTACTAATAAATAACGACACATTATCCATACACAGATCCAACTTAGAAATAATTTCCAATAGATAAGGTAAAAATGATGAAAGAGGCACAAGAATTGTCTCCTTATGAATTGCCCAGGCAGCACAAAATTTGATGTTTTGAATAACAATTCGTATTATACATTTCCACGCAGAATGAACATGAAACCTGTTCTCATTTTTTGAATAAGCCATATTGCTCTGAACAGTGGAGTGAGGGACAGCAATCATTTCGCTTTTGGTAATGGCATAAACGGTATGGCCACAGATAGCTCCAATTTGCCTCCGTTTTGTGATAATCAACATATAATAAGGCCCCAAGAACTTGATGAAACCTGTAACAGAGGAGAATTTTATGAGTTTACCACCATATAAAACTGGAATAGTAAGATCATCTTAACTTAGTGTAATCGTATAACAGCAATTGCAGAATGGAACAGCCAGACAATGCATCAAATAAAAGGAAACGAAAAAAGAAAAGAGCCAGGAAATTTTTTTGAGTACCATCAAAGATGTTTTCGATGTCCATGACTGCAAAATTATCTTTTCAACATTGCAAATGGAACTACAGAGTATGTTCCCAGCATTGGCACATCCTGTTGGTGGACTACGGAAAAGGTCAGCACTAGATCTATGTCCCAGTCTCGAGTATAGATGTTTATACAAAACCATGGAGGATTAGTGAGAAAAGGTCTAGACCAAATGACTACCTAGCAAGAGGAATTTACTATGCATGTTTCTATTATTTTAATCACAAGATGGTAAAATCATGTACAAATATAATTTCCAAAAAAAAAACCCTAAAATTTGGGGGTCAAGGATTAGGTTTCTAATGTAGATAAAATTCTCAAAATAAGAGAAAATCTATCTTTATATGTATATAAATCTGAAATTTACTCCTAAAATACATGGAGCAAGACAAGGAAACATGCACGAGGGGCTTCCAAGCCAGCTCGCTAAGTACCAAATCTGACTGGTCAAGATTTAAACCAGAATCACTGTTCTCTCAAAAAACCGGGCAGACTCGGTCAAGATTTTGTAAGACTTACACAACACTTGGGTTACTAAGTCGGGGTAATCGGAACCAGCACTGCTGGTACTAAGTAACTCATGGGAGACCGATGAGTTTCTAAACATGGTTCTTAAGTTTTGATAAAGAACTGTTTCGAAAAAGATAAGTTTCTAAATATTGCTCTTTGTCCAATTAGATCACTTCTCATAAATTTCCAATTAAATTTACAATGAAGATGTTTATAATAGAAGAGATAGAGATTGAATGGGATTAGAACGTATTACCTTAAACTCTCACTTTATAGGGTCCCCTTTAAAAGGTACCCTACCTTAGAGTCTCACACTCCATAGGGTCCTATCTAGTTGAATTCCACTGACAACTCTTAACAATGCTTGATATATGTAGAATAAACAAATATGTCAGGACAATTTCTCTCAAGACTGCATTGGAGTGGTGTTAGACTGGTCGAATAGCCAATAGGTGCCATGGCCGGTCTTGTCCAGTGTAAAAACCCGGTTTGGTAAAAAACCAGTCAAAATTAATGTTTGACTGTTTTTTGTAGTCCGACTGGCCAATTTCAACTGGTTCAACCATCCAAACAAAGTGGGCAACTTTTGTTTCTAATATATTAGATATTTCTAAACTATTGTTGATACTTAATATTTTAAAATCCAGCTAAACCAGTTCGACCGGCGGCTGGACCATTTTTTACTGGACCAAACTCCTCACCAATTTGGTGGTCCGGCCCAATCCTGATAGCATTGTGTTGTGCACTGTAAGGACAATTGGAACAAGTTGCAGCTTCTAATTGAATCAATAAACAAAGGGTCGAAATAACAAAACAAATGGTTATTTGGAATGCAGAACAAAATTCTCCCCCTTATGTGCTAGAGAGGGTGAGTCAAAAGAACCTCACAGTGCAAATGTAAGTCCTTTTTCAAGAGGAGGTACTCAAGAGCTTGTGATTTTTTTGACAAGGATACATATAGGAATGGAACTTGAGACATTAGCATATGAAAACCTAGCCTCTACCATCTCAACACAAGCCCGTTTCCTTACTCAAGAGCTTGTGATTGGTCTTAATCAATTTGTTATTGGTGGTTTCATGCTTGTAGAGGTATTAATTCCACTAAGGAAGTTGCAGCACAGGGCAGGTCCTGCTTGCTACCAATTAGGACAGTAGAGGGCATGAGCAACACCAAAAATTGCCAGGGAATGTACTCAAACCATATGCAACTATCTCAAATTTCATTCGATAAAGAAAGGATTGGTAAAAGCAACCTTCAAGGATGAGATGGTCAATGGAATTTCCCTACCCATGAATGGATACTACAGACTTCATTGAGGAATTATAAGAGAAAAAGAAAATTTGTTAGTCAGTCTTTGTTGAGTTCTTTTGTAGATTGCATATGCCAAATGAATTTGATGCCACTTTTTTATGGTTGTTTCAGACAAGGGCTCGAGGGACTCCACACAATCACCATTGTGGGTGCTCATCCAAGTCATAGCAGAATCATTTATTGGAAATCAAAGAGGTCAAGCCAGAATTACAAACAAGATGAGATTTTGGGAGGGGAGGCCGACTTGGTTATGCATGACACTGAAAGGATGAAATGTTCTGAGAAGTCATAGGATTAAAAGGGATTAAGGTAATTCAGAGAAAGCACTAATCTAGCATCTAGATTTGATGGTGCCGAAGCTACAGCATTAGGGTGTAAGCAGGAGAGCTTGCTAATGCCTTTAGCATAATCTACTTTGCTGCATTGACATTCCCACTAAGTTTCTTGGTGGTAGATTGGCATGGTGGAATACTAACTAAACCAACTTCCATCTAGGACTTTTCTGGCTGGTCTGTTGGCAATTTTGATCCAGTTGCTTACATCATGCATGCTTCAGTTTTGTACAAGCTTTCCAAATAGCGTACTCGGAGAATGGGGAAATAGCTTCCATTGGGCATTAACTCCATACCAACAAAATGGAAAATCCTTCTATTATGGTGTGGGAGATCATGAGTATTACCTTGAGGCTATCCAATGTATGAGGTAAGAGATGAAATGAAAAAAAAGCACCCAGATTTGATGATTGGATTAATAGGGGGTAGAGGTGACTCCTATTGTTTCCTTTGATTGGGTGAGGTAAGTAGCTTCTATTCTTTTTCTCACAAAGAGAGAACGAGAGAGAGAAAAAAAGAAAAGAAAGAAAAGTAAATTCTATTCAAAAGGGATAAGCAGTCTACAAATCGTGAAATGAGCAAGAGACACAATCATTAGTGACATGCATGTCTGCTCCATTAGTTGAAATAGAGATGATAGAATTTGAAGCCCATGTAAAGTGGAACTTCATCATGACATGCATGTCTGCTCCATTGGTTGAAATAAAGATGATAGAATTTGAAGCCCATGTAAGTGGAACTTCATCATGCTGTAAATAACTAACTACTTTGTGACAGATCTCAGAACAATCATTCTATCAACTGGACAGTCAAACTAGAAAAGTGGCTTGTCCAGTGCAGACAATATGAACCCTTCTAATAAAATATTTTAAAGAATATCAAAAGGGTCATTAAGAAGATTTTCCAATTGAAGCGGCTGGTCCACCAGTTCTTTAACCAGCCAATATAACCCAGTTCCTGTTCCAAAATTTCAGTCTGGCTTTTAAAAAATTTGTTGTCTCAGCACCAAGAAGTAGTGCCATACAATATCGCCTACATATGAAAACCATAGGCTCATTTCTTGGTTAGGTTGTGTCATGAAACCATTTGGGAAGGAGTTGCAGTCAATGAAATCTAGAAGTATGCATATAGAAGCTCTTGAGGGCACATCTAGTGGCTTCTAGTTTCCCAATAGGTGCATCATGCGTAAATGGCGTGGATAGTGGTTGATTCTCTATTTCTTCTTTGAGACTTCGCCCATCAGGTTTGGAGTTATTGCATGGGATTCATGGAGTAAAGGGGCCAGAGGAGATGACTAGTAGAGTGAGCTAGATGTGCTAAAATGCTAGTGCCTACTGCTGAACACTTGTAATGAATTGGCGCAAGAGACTATCATATTTCTAACAAATGACTAAGTGGAATTTGGCTTCTAAAAAAGCGCTGTGCATTTTTTCTCACAGTAAGAGTAACAAAGTCAGATAACCTCTACATGGGCATATTCTAATTGGCGGCTAGGAAAGGCTTAACAAAGTATGTGGGATTGAATAGAGCTATCTAGTATTTGAATGATCTTGTTAGTCATAACCTCTAAATTACGCTATTACAACATTAAATACATTTTAACATAACAATATATTAGAAAGCATCAGCATTTAAAACAATAGATCAAGGAAAAACAATAGACAATAAAACAACAGTCAATGGATTTTTTTATGCATACCAACAATTCCGTAACAGTTGGTAACAAATCTTAGCCCTCCAGTTGACCTGTTTCCTTCATGTATCCTCTTCAGCAGATCACAGCACTCTGTATGTGAATAAGTAGTAGAATCTTCACGAATATTTAGCTCGAAAGGATCCAGCCGATCAATCTTCAGTACTCTCCAATATGTCCTACTTTTGTCCCTCCCTACCATATAAAATTTCTGCCACACAATAAATTTAATCTGTTAGAAATGATTATTATGATATATATATATATATATATATGGAAAACTTTTAAAAACGCCTATAGGCGAAATTGAATAGTGTTTCGCCCCTCCATGGACATGCTATGTCCATTGCAGTTTTGCCTTAAAAACCATCTATGGGAGCCATGGTAGTTTCCCATGTTTTTTTTGCATGAAAAAATACCACCACAGACATGCTATGTCTGTTGCGATTTTTTAATCCACGCCATCCAAAAAAATCGGACGACGCCAAGCCTATGGGCGAAAACACTGTTCATTTTAGCCTATAAAAATTGCGTAGTGGCTTCCTA